TTTAATTATTTTATATCTTAATTAATTAATAAAAAAATCAAAACCCTAAACAAATTAACTTTGAAACCCTCCACCTCCCCAGGGATTAGTCCCTCTCGGCGGCGGCGCCTGCGCCTTTCAGCTCTGCGCTTGTAATCGAGTAGATGCCTAACTTGCAAACATATGCCCGACTGCGTCTGCCAAGATGATCGCGGTGGAGACCCCCGGCAGCAGGTTCTGCTGAGTCTTGTTTGATGAACCGTCACTTCGATTTGTATCCAGTTAGCAGGCTGCGATTTCCAAGCAATCTGCTTCTTCTGATCAATTACCTTCTTGGTAATTACAGTGGTTTTCTTCCATGTATTGTTGGGCGCTTCTGATGATTTTAAACTAGAAGCGGCACTAAAAATTGAAGTGAAATTTATGGGTCGAGGGATTGAACGGAAGGAAAGGGAATTGCGGGGACCAAATCTCTTTGTCGCCACTAAGAAGAGGAAGAGGAGGCGGTGGGTTTCACAGTGAATTAGACAATTAGTTTAGGGTTTTGATTTTCTTATTAATTAATTGAGATATAAAATAACTAAAATCAAAATTAGGAGTCTTAAGAGTAAATGAGGGTCAATTGAGTCATTTGACAGTCCCTTTAACGGTCACTTAACAGAAAAGTGGATGGAAGGGTTAACTTGTTATGTTTCATTTACGTTTCAATATCAGAAGGGTATGTTTGTGCAAAAAATAATAGAGGGGTACGTTTGTTAATTTACCTTAATAGAGGGGTACTAAATGCTATTAACCCTTAAATTATTATTTGCATATCAATATCTAATGAACGTTACACTATATAAGACCACAGTAATAGCACAATAACATTCTTTATTTTTTTGTCTTTAGAAGTCGATAATAAAATAAGAAACTCCGACTCTCCAAAAGTCAAATAGTGACTAAAAATGAATTGAAACGGACTTATAGGATAAGTGACTTGTTATAAGTGACTTGATTAGAGCCATAGATCAATTCAGTGATTAGCTTTATTCTATTCTATACGTGAGCACTTTTAAGTATAAACACCATTTCAACAATAAGCTTTTAGCTAAATGGATGGTAGGTCTAGTCTTTATCTCCGGCTTCGTGTCGATTGTACGATTTTCATTCCTACGTAGATCTTCTCTGGTGTTGAGTCATTCCAGTTGTCATATTGATGTTCGTGTTAATGAGAATAATATTTCTTATGTGGTTGTGGGTGTGTATATCGGCTGCAATGCTGCTATTCGGGCGGCACAATTGCATTATCTCCAGAATTTGTGCGAGGAAATCCAATTATCCTATGTGGTGATAGGTGATTTCAACTCCATCTTGTCCGAAAATGAGAAAGAAGGTGGGAATCCGTGGAACCCAGATGGTTCCGCTGCGCTCAGGGACTTTGTGACTGACCTGGGACTACATGATGTTGGGTTCCAGGGGGATCAGTTCACGTGGACCAATAAGCGGATGGGACAAGCTTGTGTTCGGGAAAGAATAGATCGGGCGTTATATTCCCATTACTGGATGGAGCTTTTCCCTGAGTCCTTGGCGAAGCATCATACGGATCAGGGCTCGGATCATATAGCTCTTCTATTATCTGACAAGCCTTTCACGCGACAAAGCCGACCTCTATTCTGGTTCGATGCACGTTAGGCGAACAATCCGAAAGTCAGAGCAATGGTCGTGTTTGTGTGGAATGAGGCGGTTCATGGATCCCCCATGTATAGATTATGGATATGCTTAAAACGTTTTTGACATATTTTGTATGATTGGAGTATGGCTAGTACGACTAACTCCCTTCGAAACATCAAAACTCTCCAGACGGAGATTGAACAGATAAAGTAATCGGCTCCCATTGATTCAGATAAGGTTTGGGATCTGAAACAGAGCTTAGTCGCCAGTGGGAGGCAGAAGAGATTTACTGGAAACAAAAATCACGAGTTTCGGTGGTTGAAAAAAGGTGATAGTAATACCTCCTATTTCCACACAGTCACAACGACAAGGAGAAAAAGAAATTTTGTGGCGGGATTGAGGAATGAGGATGGTGTATGAGTCACTGATGAGAAGGGAAAGACAAATATTTTTGTTGATTTTTTTCTAGCATCTCTTTACCACCGAAAACCATGTTGAGAATATGATGGCCCGAGTGGCAGATCTGCCTATTGCTCAGTCGGTCACTCATGAGATGAATGTAGCCCTGACGACTGATGTTGGCTTTGGAGATCAGACAAACGTCTTCTTGATTGGGTCCACTCAGGCTCCGGGATCGGATGGGTTCATTGGAAAATTCTTCTGCCCTTTTTGGAATGTTGTTGGTGAGTATGTGGTGGAAGCTGTCTGCCTGTCAATTCCTTTTTTCGTACAAGACGGATGTTACGAAGCTTTAACCATACTTGGCTCACACTCATTCTGAAGGTTGATAACGAGGAAAATATGCGCCAGTTGAGACCTATAAGTTTATGCCAATTCATATACAAGATCATTGCTAAAATTGTCCGAGCGTTGGCTCGATTTCTTCCCGCGATAATATCGTCGGGACAAAATGCGTTTATTCGTGAAAGACAGATAGTGGATAATGTGCTCATTGGTCACGAATTGATACACTACCTTAAGATTAAGGCTAAGGGTAAGAAAGGTTATATGGGTCTGAAGGTTGATATGGAAAAGGCCTATGATAGAGTCGAATGGCCCTTCTTACTTGCGGTTTTAGGAAAAATGAGGTTTAATCCGACTTGGGTACAGTGGATCGAAGAATGCTTGCGCTCCTCCTCTTTTTCGATCCTAATGAATGGGACACCAGCTAGTTACTTTCGCTCGACTCGGGGACTTCGGCAGGGAGATCTGTTGTCTCCGCTTCTTTTTGTCATTTGTATTGAGGGCTTTGCAACACTCTTACGTAAGGCCATTGAGGAGCGGAAGTTAGTTGGAGTCCGGGTTAGTCCCAGAGTCCCATGTGTTTCACATTTGTTCTTTGCTGATGATTCATATATGTTTCTCAGAGGGTCGATGCAAGAATTTGAGAATTTGATGCTGGTCTTGAATGAATATGGGGAACTTAGTGGGCAGCGGGTGAACCTGGCTAAATCGGCGGTATGTTTTAGTAAGAACATACTGCCGGTTGATCAAGAATCCCTTGCTCTCCGGCTGGGGTTAAGGGCTGTTGGTGTCCATGATAAATATTTGGGGTTACCCACCTTGATTGCTCAATCTAAGATGGCTACTTTCCGATATTTGGAGGAGAAGTTATTAGAACGGTTACAGGGGTGGAAACAGAAGGTGCTCTCATGGGCAACAAAGGAGACGTTGATTAAGTCAATCGCGCTCTCATTCTCTATCGTATTTTGGATAAGCATGTTGCTATATTTTGGTGGGGGGTCGAAGCGGGTCGCCCTCGAGTTAGATGGATTTCTTGGCAGAATCTGTGTACTAGTAAACATGATTGGGGATGGGGTTTCGGCGTTTTGAACATTTCAATAAAGCCCTCTTGGCTAAGGTTGGATGGCGTATTCTTAGTGAGCCTGACTCTCTCCTGGCCTAGATCTATAAGGGGAAGTATTTCCCGATTGGTACATTCCTAAAAGCAACCACTAGATCTCGTCCATCGTGGGGTTGGCAGAGTATTCTCCATGGCCGCACTCTGCTGCAAAGAGGACTTCGGTGGCAGATTGGAGATGAGGTCCTAGCCTCTATCCAACATTCCAGTTGGGTACCAGCTACTCATCCGCCCCCCCCCCCCTCGGTGTAATCCTCATGTAATTCTAGAGGGTAATGACCCAAAGGTTGCAGAGCTTATTGATCCTGTGAGGAGAGGATGGTGTGGCCAATCACTTCAGCAATTGTTTCTGTCTGATGTGATCCTTGACATCTTTGCGATCTCCTTGCCTAATAGGGGTGTGGAGGATAGTTTGGTATGACATGATACGAGTGATGGCGTGTTCACTGTCAAATCTTCTTATCACCTTGCGCTTTTGGTTGATAGGCAGATTGGGGAGTGGCGCCCCATGGTGAGCTGGATGAAAATTTGGGAACTCAAGATCCCACCTAAGTTAACATTGTTCCTATGGAAAATCTTTCACTGTATCTTACCTACGACGGAGGCGTTAATTGAGAAACGAGTCCATATTTTGCCTCGATGTCCGGTGTGTTGGGCGGAGTCTTAAACAATGGAGCTCCTTTTTTTGGAGTGTCCAATCGCTGCAGCTCTCTGGACTCAGTCGAGATTGGAGCATTTGGGCCATGGTTTACTGAGACAGACTTTTCCTTTCTTCCTAAAAAATGCTTGCTTAGGATGACACAGCCGACCCAAATTATGGCCCTGGTGGCACTTTTGTGGTGTATTTGGAAGTCAAGAAACTGGGCTGCCTTTGAGGGAAAGCAGTTCTTGATTCCTCAATTACTACGACAATATCACCAACAGATTCATGAATGGGTGTCCTTACCAGATGATGGGCTGGGTTTGGATCGGGTAACTCGGCAACAAAATATGGGGGAAGGGGATTTACCGAGTGTCGTCTGTATGTGGGATGGTGTGGTAAGTGCTGGCTCATATTCAGCAGGATGGCTGATCTTAAAGGACAGTGTTGGAAATGTGCTATTGGCTAATAGAGTGTTTCTTCAAAACATTGTGGACCCTCTAGTGGTGGAGACACTTATTGATTAGTTTACGGCATCACCCGAATCAAATAAGTCAAGTTAATGGGCAATCTTTGACGTAAGGAGACGGGCTCAAGTAGTGAATGAAACACGAAGCTATTCTGTGGCTAGGAAGGCCCTGTCTTTGTCTCCGGCTTCGTGTCGATTGTATGATTTTCGTGCCTGGGTTAGGTCTAGGATGTGACTTGTGATCTTTTATTAATCAATATGATTATCTTTTGTAAAAAAATGGATGATAGGTCTTAATTTCGTCTTATTAAAATAGACAAAAAGGCCAAGATAGATTGCTAAATAGGTAAGAGCTGCTTCCGACAAGTTTGCGAATTTCAGTGGCTTATTTTGTAAATCTATGGAAGCTCAATGACCATTAATGAAAATTTTCTCAGTGTATAGATTGAAACGTGAATTTTTTCGGAAGGCACGACATAAAAACGATCTTTTTTTTGTTGGTACAGAAGTAAATTACAAAGGCCAGGATCCGAAACCTCAATCCTATGAAAACCAAAAGGTAACGAATGACCCCTTTTAGCGAGGGCGTCAACACACTGGTTTCCCTCACGATAAATATGGGAAACAGACTCTTCCCAATTCCGGGCAAGCAAATCCTGGAAACGGTCGATCAAAGCAGCATGATGATGATCAGGTCTATCCTTGCTCCGTAGGAGTTGGACCGCACAACTGGAATCGAGCTCCACCCGGACTCGACGATGACCCATGTCCCAAGACAACTGAAGACCTTCCACAACGCCTCTCAACTCTGCTCGGGTAACATAACAAATACCCAAATTTATGGTGAAAGCTGCAGAGCAGCTTCTTGTATGATCTCTAATCAGGCCACCAACTGCAGCATGACCTGATTCCTGAAGGCCGGAGCCGTCTGAATTGAGAGTAACTCACTCTGGAGGTGGCGGCTTTCATGAGATCTCCACCTCCGTTCTGGCAGGCAGATTAGGCGAATGAACGAGCCTATCTTTGTCCATGGCAATCTGCACGAAATTTATCCATACCTGGACGCGCTGTAAGAAAGCTTCAGTTGTAACGACTTTGTTTTGAAACAATCTGCCGTTTCTAGTCCTCCACAGGGGCCAACAGATAATGCCAAAATCTAGGCAAGTGTGCTCTCTGTTGAGGTTTCGTTGAATCCACTCCTGTGTATTGCTGTCACAAAAGTTCCGATGATCAGAAAGCTGAGGGAGTTGAAACCAAGTTAACCTGGAAAAGGGACAATCCCGCAACACATGTAGGACTGATTCCGCCTGATTCTCGCAGAGGGAACAATAGGGTGCTCCCGTCAAATGCCTTCGGTTCCGCTCTTGGTTCGTCAAAAGTCTTTGTCGTATTGCCAGCCACATGAAATTATTGACTTTTGCAGGGCCCCGCCATTGTCAAATAGACCGTCAGTCGATGTCAGCATCTTTGTCCACCTCCCCTTTTGCGATCTCGTAGACCGACCGGACGTGGAAATGGCCATCATTCTCTGGGCCCCACGTCATTATGTCCTCTCCTGAACCTGCTCTCGGGGGCTGGATTCCCAAAACCTGCAAGACAACATCCTCAGGAAGACAAAAACGAAGTTTTGGGATATTCCACTCACTAGAGTTAGTTCCAAACTCGGCCACCGCAACCGTCGGATCGATCTCAGGCCCATCGTCGCGAGCCAAATCGAGGAGCGGCTCTCCATTATCCACCCAGTTGTCAGTCCAGAATGAGGTGTTGCATCCATCTTTAATGCTCATCTTCATGCCCGATAACATAATCGGCCAGTCCTTCATTATTCCTCGCCAAACATTGGACTTTCCCGGCGACGATTTGGCCACTATAGAGCTCCGTCGACTTTCTTGAAGTACTTAGCCTGGAGTACTCTCACCCACAGCTTGATGACTCGGTATTTGCACATGTTTTCCCCTTTTGTTTCTTGATTGTTTGAGCTTGAATTACCGTGTCTTTGACCGATTTTACGCTAGGTTGTGTTCCTTTGTCACATTTCAGGTCCTAGCACATAAAGTGAAGCATAGGCGCAAGTTTCAAGTCAATCAGAGATCAATTGACGATTTGGGAGAAGACACTCGGGCATGACCTGAAGAAGAATGGATTTCTACCTCACTTTATGGACAGAGAATCATGCAAGCTTGTTATGAAACGGAAGAGGACGAGACTACGAGCGTCTGGGATCAAACGGCGACTGATTCGGAGTCCGGACGAGGGAGAAACGAAGCATTAAACAGAGGCTGAGCAAGCTGCACGAGCATACCAGGGAGGCGCACGGCCGTGCAACATATAATTCTGGCCGTGCGGGATTGTGCGTGGCCACGCACGGCTGTGCAACATACAATTTTGGCCGTGCGGGTTGGTGCGTGGGCACGCACGGGCACAAGTGAAATCCGCACGGCCGTGCAAGGTGCAATCCTGGCCGTGTGAGTTGGTTGAGGTTCGACTTAATGAAACGGCGCGTTTTGAGGTGCACGGCCAGAATGGTGATGTGCATGGCCGTGCACCCTGGCCGTGCGAGTCGGGAAAGTCTGGTTTTAAAGCGGATTCCGAGCCAAACAGAGGGGAGAGCTGGGTTTTGGATCCCAAACACCCAAGGGACGAACCCTAGAGAGAGAGAGCGACTTGGAAACATTCTTGGAGCTATTTTGAAGATTTCTTCGCCAATGGAGCTCGGGAATCAAGCTTGGAGATGGAGATTGAAGATCTAGATCAGATTTCTGCAGTCTCTCTCTTCTCTATGGAGTAACTTCCCTTCACTTAGGTTTTGAGGAACCCTAGTTCCATGAGTTAGGATCTTTCTTGTATGAAGTTTTGGATGCTATACTGTTTGATTATAATCGATTGAGGCATGATTTATTGAGTCAATTGGATCTTGATCAAATTCTCTTGATTTCTGCTTTAACCTATGATAGATAGAATCTGATTAGGTTAAGAGAGTTTCCTTGATTGATAGTAGTGAATTGGTTGTGCGAGAGTCAATCAATTCACTGCTTTGTACTGGAACTCATTCCAGTAGTGGAGATCTGTGTGAATCACCTTAGCAGTTTATCCCGGTGAAGGCTAGTCACCTGCCGGGTATTCTGTCTGAGAGGGCTTGGTCAGCTTAAGAGATTCCAAGCTAATTTAGGATCTTCCGCAGTTTAATCAACAGTAGATCAACCAAAGGTAATTGCAACTTGGACCTAATTGAGGAGTTAGGGGGAATCATACCTAAGTGAGTTCCCAACTTGTAATTAGTAGAGTAGTTAGTAGAGTAGTTTAGTTAATCAATCCTTAATCTAGTTTGCTAGATAATGAACTGAAGCTGAGTAATAGTAACTCTAGAGACCCGTGGATTCGATATTTATTACTTGTGCCACTATACTGCAGTCCCTTTCATTGGTTACACTTGGCCATTGTTAGGTGTTGTGTTTTAGCGTGTCAAGTTTTTGGCGCCACCATCGGTACTAGTCCAGGAGGTCAATACTAGCGAGAGTCCCACAGCTACGCTAGTTCGTTAGGTATAAAGTGCTAACACCGTATTTCTCCATGAAATCATGGTAAGAGTCTGCGTCTTTAAAATGAACCGTTCGCTCATGAGAACGGCGATCTTTTATCGAACTATCATAAGGGGCAAAAGCCGTCTTACTTTTCGAGCCGAGTCGCTCAAAATAGAACCTTTCAAAGAAAGAAGTCAGTTCTTTGAGTGTGATGGGGGATCCATCTTTGTTTGTATATTTGGATAAATCCGCAAAGTTAAGCATATCTTTCACAAAATCAGCTTTTGTGGTAGCGAACAGTTTATTTGGATCAATCGGTTGCGGAAGACGATTCTTACGGTACTTATAACCCATTCCTGCCTCAATGGCTTCGGGATGAAGCTCTTCCATGGTTTTAGTATAGAGTGTTGCGTGCTGACCAGCGTGTTCATTATAAACTTTTTCGCCTAACATACTTTTCGCAACATCCCGTGTATACTCTTTATCACTGGAAAATCCGAGATTTTTTGAACTCTTTTCGTTAAACTCCGCCAAAGGAGCTAACACCTGATTGTTATGAGCCTCTATCTTCTTCTCCAGCGGAACTTCGGATGAACCCGCCTTATAAAACAACTTATTAAAAAACGCTTGTGTCCGCCCAAAAAGACCTGGCTGTATCTGATCGATTTCACTTGATAACGTAAGATGCTTATACGCCTCATCGATATGATTGTGTATCGCTTCAGCAGTCTCACGAATACGAGCTTTTTGGGCGTTTTCTCCTGCTAAGCGGTAACGTTCGGCTTTTGATAACCCCTCAAGTGGGGTTTTGTGGTAGTGATCAATGATATCTTGTTCTATTCGGTTTAGCTCAGATTCCGAGAGAATCTTACCTGCTGCGCTATTAATCGCCTGAATACATTCTGGTCTCATTACAGCCCTCCTGTGCGTAAGAAACAGTCAACTGCCACTTGGAAAAGGTTCTTTTCCTTGATTAAATTACTCAACTGTACTTCTTCATGCATAGTCTCATGAACCTCTTTCGCTAACGAGGGTGTTCTTTTCTCTAATTCAGAAAAACGCTGTGATACGTGTTCATCAATCTCAGAAAAGTGAGATGTTGTTGCCCTTTCCCCCTCAGGAATCGTCTTCCCTTGTTGGATAAGCACCTCATGAGACCGTAATATAGCAGTTAATTCCCGTCTGATCTTACCGTTAGCTGTATTCTCATTACTTATCAAATGTTCAAGAAGCTGACGTCTCTCTAGTGGGTCAAGATTATTAAATCCTGCGACATCTATTGAAACGCTTAGATCATCAGCCACAGTAAACACCCGATCGCCCGCCGAATCCGCTAAAGACGCTAACGAAGTCTGATCATCAGGTTTGGTCTGGTTTGTGGTAGAAAGAGTCAAATACTTATCGAATTTCTTAGGGTTTTTTCCCGAATTCCACAGTAACTTGTTCCCTGCTGAGTATTCGCCTTGACTCGTTGCTTAGATCTTGCTTCCTCTCAAGAGGTATTGGAAGAGAATTGATATGATTTGTGATGTTCTCCAGTTGCCTATTCTAATTTTCATCAGAAGAATCAATATGGATTCGATTCGTTACGTTTCCCAGAGCTTTAATGACATTTTCGTCTACCCGTTTAACCATCGCACCTATTTGAATCTCTAATCCTTTTTTCTGGTATCCTCTGAAATCCTGCTCCATCTGCAAGCGAAAATGTTGACGTACCTGCTTATCAGAAATACGTCAAAGCCAGTCTTCGGATCTACTTCGTAAAGAACCATTAACGTACTCATTAATTTGAGTACCTGCTTGGGGAATATCACTCATATCAAGACTCTCGGCGAAGCTCTCAAAATCTCTGTCAGAAGCGGACGAAAGCGACGTATACTGCGTGTTAGCATTCGCAAAAGCACTGTCCCTTTTTATGTCCTCTAATATTTTAGACACTTGCTCAATACCTGTGCTTATGTCTTTCAGCCCAGCAAAAGGATTGATCTTATCAGCAACTGTGTCTCGATCGGGTGCAATGGGTTCGATTGAGGATGATTTTAAATTAAGCTCTGCCATTGTATGTCCCCATCATTTGCCCCAGACATTATACAACTGAGATGCACCTGTAATCCCTTGACCTATAGCGGAAAATATTCCTGAAGTTTCTGCGTTGGACGCATTCTGACGAAGCCATTGGTTCTCTTTTAAAAACCTGTTAACGACATCGGATCTCGAGTTTTGAGCAGTTTCAACTTCTTTATACA